CAAGAACACCAGTTGGTTGTCGAAATCACATTCGAGCAACTCTTGCTTAACATTATTCTATATATGTATATATAGAGTCTTTTACTCATATATATAACTTTTTGGTGGTACCTTGTGTTCGGTAAGTCGATAAAAGTCCAATGTATGACTTCTGGACACTCGAATGTGACGGGAAACTCCAATTCTCGTGGTACTTTACTATATAGAGCATATAGCTTAGGTAGAGGACAGATATATAGCATAAGAGGATATCACCGATCAAATTTCACATATGGCCGCACTATTTCATCCGTACTTCGGGTAAGAATGAAAGAAAGCGAGGAAAAAGGAACAAAGTAACTATAATGATTGAAATGAGAGAGGAATTTAAGTATTAGGTACACTGTGGTTTAATGCTCTCAATGGGACAAAGTAACCTATTTTTTTGGGGTTCAATAACGGTCGTAAATTGTTGAATAATTGCGGTGGTGTATCATTAGTGTCACGCGAGTTTTTTTAGGTAAGACAAGACATTGTGGTAGAGAGATATAAATGTCTAATTTATTACTTGTGAAAATTATTATTACTATAACTATAAAACTAATCAATATTAGAGGCTCAAATTTTCAGTAAATAATTATTTTTATAGGGAAAAAGTCCCTAAAGAATTTCAGAAAATTTTTTTATGATTGCCCTTATGAAAATTTTTCGGACTTTTTTCTTAAAAAACCTCGAAAACTCTGAAAAAGTCTTTAAAAGTCTTTAGAAGTTTTTTTCTGAAAAAAGTCCGAAAAATTTCCACAAGGGTGAAATTATAAAAAAGTCTATATTGCTAACTAAAAGCACTATAATTTTGGAACTAATTAATATTAAGGGCTCAAACTTTTAGTAAATGTTTCTTTTCATGGGTAGAAAGTCCCCACAAAATTAAAAAATAATCGGTAGATATCACCAAAAAATTTTATTTTTTGCTTATAATCATGAAAAAGTATATTTTACATACTAGAATGACTATAACTATAAAACTAATCAATATTAGTAACTCAAAGTTCCAGTGAATGTTTGTCTTTATGTTCTGAAAGTCCTCCGAAAATTTTAAAACAATCAGTAGAGGCCCAAAAAAAATTTTTTGTTTGCCTAAAATTACAAAAAACCGTATTTTTAAAACTGAAACGACTATAACGTTAAAACTACTTACTATTAAGGGCTCAAATTTTCAGTAAATATATTTATTTATGCCCCGAATAGGGTCTGTACAGAATTTCAAAATGATAGATTTGGGCCTTAAAAAAATTTTTTTTAATTATAAAAAAGTCTATTTTACGTTCTAGAAACTAAAATGACTGTAACCTTGGAACTAACCAATATTAATCACTCAAAATTTTAGTAAATGTTTAACTTTATGTTCTGAAGGTCTCCTAAAAATTTCAAAACAATCGGGAGAGCTCCCGAAAAAAATTTTTTTTTTGTCTAAAATTACGAAAAACCGTATTTTGCAAACTAAAATGACTCTAACTTTGAAATTTATTTATATTAAGGGCTCAAATTTTTAGTAAATCTTTTTTTTTATGTTCTGAAGGTCTCTACAAAGTTTCAAAACGATTGGTAGAGGTAAAAAAAATTATTTTTTGTCATATCAACCGCGAAAGTTGGATTTTCGAGCAACATATAGAGGGCGGAAAGAATATGATTTCTGACAATCTATAGTTTAGTTAATTTACCTCTTACTAGTATCGAAAAGTAACTTTTCTCTCTCTCTATCTGTCTCTACATTTTTGCACGACTACTAAAATACGCTATAGATGAGTCGAATTATATTTTAATTCGACAAACGTCCGCTGGGTGGAGTAAAAATCGCAAAAAAAAAAATCTTAGCGATAGTCGAATCTTGTAAGCGACTTCAACATATACGTACATTTAATCCGTGGCTATTTAAACCCATGTGACATAATTCTTGTGCCTTCAAATAAAATAAACAGTAATTAAATATTTTTGACTGTTCTTTCAAATCCAACTTCCGCAATTGATATGACAACAAATTTTGTTCGATACGTTATGCTCAAAGGTAGGGATCCTGACAAACTTGAAGTGAAGGCACACGTTTGAGGCTATAGATACATTCTCAATGAGGCCTCGTACTATATCCGGACTCGCTACTATTGTCCAGATAAATAACTCAGTCTTGATAAGAATGCGCCCATAGCCTCAAACTCGTGACGTCACTTCAAGCCGTCAAAATCCCTACCTTTGTGCATATGTATCGAAAATAACTATTTTGTTTATTATCAGAAAAACCTCTATTTATCAAACAAAAATGACTATCACAACCTAAACAACGTGTTGATTATTACTTAATCTCAACCCGTAAAATCATAAAGAAATGTCAAGGCAAGGAACATAATTTTATGACTCATATTCATAAAAATCAATAGTCACACTTCAAATTAATGTTTTAAAACATTTTTTCATTATTTAAATTTAGTTGACACCGAGACGCTTAAAGTGCGGAGTTACTTAAACACGACACTTGAGTTGTAAGTTGGCATTGTGGCGTCCAATTTTGTCTCGGTTTTTTGTCGCCGAAGAACAAAAGCCGTCTATTAAAAAAGAGAATGGAAAATCTTTTCTGACATACCTGAGTAGTCTCATAAGACTTATACACGTAGACAATTACAAACATCGCAATTAGAGTCAAGTTTCTCTTGAATTTTAAAACGCTAATTATTCCTCTCTGTCTGCAGTTTTGCTGTTTCATAGACAGTTTCAAATTGTAATTAATGTATTTATTATTATCTTAAAATATGTCTATGTATTTATTTATCTATCTATCTTCTCGGTCTGTTTTATTTAGCCGTACGAACTTGAACCCTCAGTGAGTAGAGAGCCGTGAGATTAAACGACTCCCTGCTAGTTAGATTCGAGGACGGGGGATTAGCAGAGCCGTACTGAATCTGAAGGGGACAAGCCCATCATTGCAGCGATGAGAAACTTCCCATCACGAAAACTTAATCAAGACCTTTCTCCTTTCTTTTGGGGTGTAAGAGTGTTGTGCTGTTTATAAACTTGGAAAAACGTAAGCTTTTAAACACAACATTTCATCGAAATATTTGAGAGGAAAGACGCTTTATATATTTTACGACCTTTTAACTTTAAGAAGATAACAAACATGGAAAAAAAATTTTTTGGCCACCTCTACCGATCATTTTAAAATTTTGTAAGGACATTCTATCTGTCAAAAGTAACAGTTATGGAAAGTTTGAGCTATTAATATTGATTAGGTTAAAAAATATAGTCATTTTAGTTGTTAAAATACACTTTCTTGAGTTAATAATAAGCAAAAAAAATATTTTTTTGGCAACCTCTGTTGATCATTTCGAAGTATATTAGGAACCTTTTGGAACATAAAAAGAAAAATTTACTGGAAATATGAGCCTTAAATATCGATTAATTCCAAAGTAATAGTCATTTTAGTTTGAAAAATAGGCTTTTTCATCATTTTAAACAAAAAAAATCTGGAAAACGGTTGATCCTAAAGGCCATCCCTGCAACTTCCCACTAATTCCATATCTAAGCGCTTAAAATTGCACTTTTATGACGTTTTTGAGCTCTTCGAGCTTAAAAATATAATTTATATGTTACTTCGAGCTCTCCAAGCTCAAAAAGTTAGCTGTTCTATGATTTTGAGTTCTTCAAGTTCAAAAGTCTGATAGAAGTTTAATAAAACAGTATTTTTTGAATTTTCAAACCGCAATTACTTCTGAATGGATCAACCGATTTTCACGCGGTTGGCAGAATTTCACGCAGTTTTTTTAATTCTATGATATATTTTAAAATACAAACTGATCAAACCGAAAATTGTAGAGAAATTTAAAAAATTCACTTCTTCCGATTTTTATCGACAACGATAACTCAGGAACCAATCAACCGATTTTCACATTCTTGGCAGCGATCGACGTGGTTTTTTAGGCTCTAATAATTATTTTATTTCATCAAAGCGATCCAAAAAGAAATGTCGAAGTTAAGTAAAAAAAAACACTTTTTTCGAAATTCTTCGTTTTCGATAACTCCCGAACGAATTAACCGATTTTGACGGGACTGATAGGAATCGACGTGGTTTTTCAAGTTTAAGAGCGGATTAGTTTTTGGGATTGATCAGTGAAGCCATTTATAAGTTATTCCAAAAAATCAATTTTTTGAAAATTTTATTTTTGAGATTTCTCAAAATCTAGCAAACCAAATCAATTCAAAATTTCACGAAATTTAATGGCAATGATACTCTATAGATTGCTATCTATTTCGATCCGATCGGTCAGGCCGTTCAAAAGTTATAAGAGGTTTACATACATTCACACATATATACAGCCGCACGGACACCATCGCGGGAATAGTCAGGGAAGCTTCCTGTGACCTTAAAATGTCGAGATCTGATGATAACTCGATTTTCGCAAAACGCGGCAAAACCAATAACTTCCCGAATTTTTGAAAATTTTCAATTTTTTTTGGCGGAAAGTTAAAAAATTTTTATTGGCAACCTTTACCGATCATTTTGAAATTCTAAGGTGATCTTGTATATAAAAAAGTAAACTTTTCGTGAAAATTTGAGCACTAAATATTGATTATTTCCAAATTTACAGTTAATTTAATTTGCAAAACAGCTTTTTTCATGGTTTTAAAAGAAATCCAAATTTTTTCGCAAACCCTTGACCGATTGTTTTGAAATTTCGTAGGTAACTTCAAACCCTCAAAAGAATCATGTACTAAAGTTTTGAGCCCTCAAAATCAATCAGTCCTAAAGTTATAGCCATTTTTATAATAATCCCTATACATGTAACCATCAGTAGTTTGCTACAATTCCAAACTGTTAAAATTATAGACGTTGTCTATATCCGCAAATTCTTCACCGAACACTATTTTTAGTCACACCCAAAGTATGTACATGTACCCTGACAATTATCAACTAAATAGAGGTTGTCGGGAACGAAAAAAACAAACAAACCATAAAAAGCAACGAACATTTATTGTCATCGCGAATCATTTCCAGAAGGATCTGAATCAAAACCGTGTGTCCACTTATATTGACCAAATGGCCGGTTATTGTGGATGTTGTTTACCGTGATGTACGAGTAAACACGCGGCGTGTCTACGTTGACGTTCGCGCTATTGATAGCCGGGTATCCGTTGCCGTATTGAGACAGCAGAGGGCTCACGGCCAGAGGATAGTTTTTGTTGGTTTTTCGGATTCTCCAATCAGACTCTCCGAGCTGGACTCGTGGATTCCTCGTAAATTTTTCGGGATTTATATCGTCGATATCCCGGATCGGCACCCGCTGATGGATGGGCCTCGGATGTTCGTCGTTCCCGTCCATGACCTCGTAAACTGGCCTCGTGTTTTTGTCGGGAAAAATACCTTCAAGGTTTATAATAACCGTTATCATCAAATATGTCTTCAATTTATTAAGTTTCATTTTTTGTACTTACTGTAAAACAAAGGAATTACACTGCAGGGTGGCTTGGGAAGGTAAAATCTAGATGGCGTTGCTATTTTTCCTGGGTTTAGATTGATGACAGCCAAGGCTGATGTGTGGATCAGTGACGACACCACGACCTTAAGTTCAAATTATCGTTTTATATGGTTTATTTAAAAGATGCAAAAAAATTGAAACGAACTTTTTTTGTAGGAAATTAAATTTACTACGAAAAAAATTTCTTATTAGTTTTATGTATTTTCGATATTTAACTAATAATTTCGAAATCAAATCAGTACTACATTGATTGTTGCTATGAATAGGTCGATATGATTTTTGAACATGAATTTTTACTAAAACATGAGAGCTCCGGAAAAATTAACGATTGTCTTTATTTATGAAAAATTATATTTTCTATAGGAAAGGTTTCTTTTTTATCTCTTCGTATCTCCATTATTTGACCTGGAACTTCAATTTGAAATTTTCCGAATCACGTAATCTCGTTTTCAAGCTTAGAATTATAATTTGACTTAAAATTATGGCTCAATGATAAGAGGAAAGATAAATTTGATACGGATCTTTTTTCTTTGAAGAGGATTAAAATTCTTGCAAAAAAAAATTTTTTGTACCTTGTATCCTTACAAGCCACAATTTCAATTTTTAATTTATTCCTAACTGTGAAGATGGAAAAAACTTGAATTTAAGGATAACTTTAGAATTTTTTAAAATTTGCACTTACTAGCAGCAAAAAGTTAAGCTTAACCATCGTCTTCTGGAGAATCAGAACCACAAACTAAAGCCCGCGATTCTTCTTGAGGGTATTTATAGAAACTAATTGAGATTACTAATGGAAGTGTCTTGTTTGACAGCGGAAATGATAGCGATGTCTCATCGTACATTAATATAAAAGTATACTTTCATTTTACCTCATTGACACTGCCATTAACTGACACGGTAATTACTCACTAAAAACTAAACTACCATAATTACTTTTATCATCACGTTGAAAAAAATTTTTTTTCCAGTGACGATACAGTAAAAATTACCTTTCAGTGCAATACAACAGTTTATGCAGCAAAGATAACTTTCTTAATTGTTCAACTATTAAGTTAAGCGTTATTTTTAGTTTTTTATTGAATAAATTAGTTCTATCTTGTAGCGATACGGAAGCAACCTTCTTTTAGACGACTGCCTGTGATAAAATAGAAATGGTGTTTGATTTACCTTACCATGAATAGGTATTGATTTGTTGTCACAAGTCGGCAATGTAGAAAATCACTCGAACGACAATATTCCATTCGCCGATAAAGTAGATTTCTATAAAAAATATTTTCTGATCATTTTAATAATATTTTACCTTGATTATTTATAAAATTGGCTTAATTAATAAATTAAAAAAAATGAGTAAAAATCTGATTTTTGACTTTAAGTTATTGGTAACGTGGCACATCGATTTAGGTATGTTTTCCTCACTCTGTATAGTAACTCAGCTGTCACGAAATATGTAATCTTCGGTAGTATAGTGGTCAGTATCCCCGCCTGTCACGCGGGAGACCGGGGTTCGATTCCCCGCCGAAGAGACTTTATTTTTTATTTTTTTTACAATTTTTTTAATTTGACAATTTAAAAAAAAAATTGATTTTTGAAAAAAAATTTTTTTTTTATAAAGAATTTTTGACTGCTTCACTTTCAAAGAGAAAGTAGTTTAAATAGATATCACTTCATTTTAATTGAAATAATAGTAATTCTCATTAATTTTATCGTTATTTCTCAATTTAAAGCAATAAAAAAAATTGATAACAAGTATAACTAAAATGAAATATTTCACAAAAACTTTTGTCGTTTTTAGAAAGTCATAAAAAACTCAACCAATAAAAAAAAATTTTTTAAGCACAAGTTAGATTTTTATAACACTTATTTGTGAAGTGTTGCCCGGAGCAATTCAATTTAAAAATAATGTTAGTTTCTTATAAAATTTTTCTTAGCGTAATATTTTTTTTCGTCGATTCAGCATTTAGTAACATTAATTCATGCAGCAAATATGGAGACATAATACAGTAAAAAATAATTATTAATATTAGATATTTTTAGTAATAACAACGAATTTTTTCAACAGTATGTCACTCGGAAACAGAAACCTTGCTGCGAACTTGAAGCGGAATGCAAAGCACAAGATCCATATGGTATCTCTCATTGCGTGGAGCAAGCAATCACAATAGTTTGTCCTCGAGCCAACAGACTGAAGTTAAAGCCAAATACTTACCGATCCTTCGACATTAAGTAGCATATTAAATGGTTCGTAGCTGGATCGGTAACTCTCACCATTAAATATTATTTATAATCCAACTTTATCATGAAGTATTATCGTAGAGAATAAACCATTTTCGATCTAAAGACTCTCAATTATGTTGAAACACACAGAAAGTTAATAAAAGAACAAACAAAATTACCATAATCAACACATTGTATCATCTTGAAAAACTTTACAATGCTCCAGATTAAATTTAGTTAAAAAAAAAAAAAATAAATTTTTATGTTAATCTATTGCAAAATTTTAGTAGAGGATGTATTAATTTTTAGTTTGGGCACTAGTTAATTATTATATTTATGATAAACTCATATGATACATTAAGTGGATCATAGAATCATTATTGTCTAAGATAGCAGCACAGCAGACAGAAACTTCAAGACGCACGGAGATCACCACAGTTAAGCAGCATTGAGTAGGGTTAATAGTTGGATGGGTGACTGCTGGTGTTATAGCCATAAAATTAGATCTAGATATTTTTTTTGCATTTTGATCAGTTACACAGAATTGCGTAGGACCATATTAAATACTCTATCCATAAAATTAACCCAATAATTAATTAGATGTAATAAATCTATAATTAAATATTGTTATATATAGTTATATATAATTATACATAATTATATATAATTAGATATGATTATATTTGGCCATTTTTCATATATAATCATATATAACCAATTTATATATAAATATATATAATTATATATAAATATTTTTTCTCGGGTATTGCAGTTTCGTCACTGGTAAGATTCACCAAAACTCTGGATTGCGGCGAGCATTGGCATTCAATATGTTCTCTCAATAGAAGGTGTATCTATCGTAAAAACAGTTTCATGGTGAATATATGGACGTGTCAACCTACTTTGGGCGGCGCATGCTGGTATGACCATCAATGCGTTACCAGAAATTCTTTCTGCATTGATTACCGCTGTCGATGCGGTAAATTTTTCACCCGTTTGTCCGAAAATCAATGTATATCTACACTACTACCTGGTGGCTTTTGAGTTTCAATAATAAAAGTTCATTGCATTAATGAACAAAAATAGGTTTCTTTTTATTACCAAAAAACCACTCATTAACATTATCTGACTCAACTACTTTTAATTAACAAAAAAACAAGTTTTTGATGACTTTCAACACCCAACATTCTTTATTTGATAAAAAAATTAAACTTAGTTTCAACTGATTCTTCAATTAGTCGATACAATTGATTTAGTGGCAAATCGAAGAATCATTCTTAGACAAATTTTAGCCAATTTTTGAGCAATATGGCAATCCAACAGATGATATTCATAATTACTTTAGCTCTTCTTTTAATATGTACCTGAAGTTCCGATCGTTTTTTTATGAATGAAAATAAAAAAAAAATTTTTTTGCTTTTGAAACTGAAAATGGTTTTTCGGCTCGAAATAAAAACAAATAGCCCTAAAAATGATATATCGACTCCTCTAAAAACCGAAACTACCCTTACAGCCACCCCGAAGACTTAAGAGTTTTTTTCAAAAATTCTAAAAAAATCCTTGCGAGGGTCCTTGGAAGCTGCCGATTTTTTATACTACTCCTAGTACTCCCCCATAGTATAAAAAATCATCAAGCTGCTAACACCCCCGGAACTACCCCTCCAGCCACCCCAAAGACTCATAAATTAAAAAAAAAATGTAGAAAAAATCCTTACGAGGGTCCTTGGTAACCAGTTAAATTTTTGGAGGCCTACAGAGAACTGAAAAAAAGATATTAATATTTAAATATTTTTGCCTTTACCATTGATCCTTATGGAAAATCACAGACTTTATTTTATTTCATAAAACTGAACGTTCAGATTCTTATGAAAATTATTACAATGAGTGAAAATAACATCTAAAATATAGTTTATATCAATCAGTATGGTTTCAGAGAATAGGAGAATATTTGTTAATAAAAAACATTCAAAATTTATCTCTGTTTCTCTTTCTCCAACGCGATTTAGTATAGGGAAATCTACGACGTTAATTAATTAAATAAGGTTAGGTTTGTGGTAACGGTAGTACTACCTTAAGCTCATCTACGTTCATTTTATCGACTTGGAAAGACAGCTGAGACGACTATACTAAATAAAATTGAGTAAACCTGGTAGCCGTCGGTTATACAGTTCTCTATTGTATTATTTCGATGATTTACTTAAAACTTAAGAGGACGTTGGATTCGTACACTGAAAAAAAAGTTTTTTTCCACCCAGAATACAAAGTATTTTTATCCAAGTTTTTTTATATCCGATATACGTTTTCTTAATATAAAAAAACTGGTATTTTTCTCCTGAGAATACCAAATTTTTTTCTGGAGCTAAAACTTTATACTGCGTTACCATAGCAACCGCAGCGGTGGCGCCGCCAATTCTCTGATTTCCCCCCAATTTCACAGTCCTGGCGTGTTTGTTTACATCATTGGAAAGTTGTATATACTAATTTATTTTTTATTTTTATTAATTTTTACATGTGGAATTTTTTAATTAAATTTTTTTTTGTAATAATTTAATTGCAATAAAATTCTAAAAAAATTTTTAATGTCTGTCAACTTCAGTGTCATTCTTAAATTTAATCATTTTATAATTTAATTTATTTAATTTTCTTAAATTTAATTATAATTGGTAAAATAATAATTATTAATTTATTAATTATAATAAAAAAGATCCACTGTATCATAAACATTTCGTATGCATCTGTGTCAAGTGAGGTTAAGTCGGCCATATTTTTATTTTGGTATTTTGCTAAGAAGGAAACCGAGTTTTTTAAAAATCACTATACTTATTAGTGTAGGAAAAAAACTTTGGTATTCTCCACACAGGTATACCAGTTTCTTTACAGGAGGGAAAAATTTCCTAGGTGGAAAAAAACTTTTTTTTCAGTGTATAAAAATAAATACTATTAGCGGGAAAATTTAAGCAAACGTTAAAATTGAATTGTATAGAAAATTAACTCCTTATAATTCATTCTTAATCAACACATCCCTGATTAAAAAAAAGTATTGAATCTATGCAACTGTATATCTATATTGTATGTAAATACAAATATACAGTTTGTGTAATTCACCACTTTTTCAATATTTTTCAATACTTTTTTTTAATCAGGGATTATTATAATTATCTTTTCAATTTATTCTGAAAGTGTACGGCAGATAGTTATTTTTTTTCTATTCACTTGACATAAAATTATCGAAAAATTGAAAGTATAAGTACTTATGTCATGCTCGTTTGAATATATCAAACTTTTTTTTCAGATACTCTGAAAGTGAGATGCACAAATAATTATCAATGTAGCAGTCGAATGAAACATTCGGAGTGTCAGAACAGTATTTGTGTCTGTAAGCCAAATTACAGAGCTACTTACGACAATAAATGTATACCACTTTTTGGCGTCGAATGTTCCTTGGATGATCCTTGTGGGACACCTAATTCCGCCTGCATTAATAAAAAGTGTCAGTGCCTTCGTTATTATGTGTTTCAAAACGAAAGATGCGTACAAAGTAAGTGAGGTGTGATGTGCATACAGGTGGAACTTTTATGAACACTTTTGTTTTTCAGGTCGGCTGAATGGATATTGTAAAAACAACGAGGACTGCAGCGGGATAGCCAATGCAAAGTGTTTGAAGAATCGATGCATCTGCAAAGATAACTATCAAAGGCTGAATGGTTTTGCATGTGGGGCTAATTTGGAAGGAAATTGTAGGACAGATGAGGAATGTATGGTGCCAAATTCCGTCTGCATTGATAAGAAGTGTCAGTGCAGACCTAATCACCTTGCCCTGGGGATTACGAAGTGCATTGAAGGTTGTTAAGTTAACGTTCAATTTAGTTAATAATATAGTTTTCGCATTGACTGTATTGAATACATTGATTGTATTAACTACATTAATTATATTTACTGCAGTGATTTGGCAGCATTCCACGCAGTTGTTCAAATTCTATTATATACTTTTGAACACCAATTGATCAAACTGAAAATTCTATCCAAAAAGAAATGTTGAAGTTATGTAAAAAAAAAAAAACACTTCTTTCGAAATTTATCGTTTTCATTAACTCCCGAACGAATCAATCGATTTTGACAGGACTGGTGGCAATCGACGTAGTTTTTCAAGTTAAAGAGCGGATTAGTTTTTGGAATTGATCGGAGGTGCCGTTTAGAAGTTTTTCCAAAAAAACGATTTTTTTTATTTTATTTTTGAGATTTCTCAAAATCTAACGAACCGAATCGATTCAAATTTTCACGAAATTTAATGGCAATGATATTCTTTAGATCGCCACCTATTTCGACACACATACATACAGTAGCATGGATACCATCGCGGGAATAGTCAGGACACAGCTTTCTGTGTCCTTCAAACGCCGAGATCTGATGAAAACTCGATTTTTGCAAAACGGGGTAAAAACAATACCTTCCTGAATTTAAAAAAATTTTTAATTTTTCTTAGCGGGAAATTAAAAAAATCGATTTTTTGAAACCGTGAAACCCATGTAACTCCTTAACTGCATTCAATTTTTTAACGACATTAACTGCATTGATTTCGATCATTTGAGAGTGTAATTTTCTGAAGCCATTATTACATTCTTGCAGCATTTGAAAAAAAGTCTTGCTCTCTTAATAACAACTGCATTGACATGATGTACACCCGGTGTTCCGAGGAAAAACGTTGTGCATGCCGACCTAAATATGGAAAGCTTAATGACACCGCTTGCGCACCACTAGTCGGTGAATATTGTTGGAACGACAATCTTTGCGCAACCGAAAATTCCGTCTGCATTGATAATTATCTATTATAATAGGTGTCAATGCAGCATTGGGTTACTTACAACTCGACTCTAACTGCATCCGAGGTAATATTTTTTTGCACGCCTCATAGTGCGAAGCGCCTGAGGTTGTGCTTTGTACTCGACTCGTCAAGGTTAATCAATTTTTCGATTTTTAAATGCCTCTATCACAACCATATTGCACTTATACAATATTATAAGTAGATGTACACCGAGAAAACACTTGAATTAAACGATCTTTTACTTTCTAAAATCATTTCATGTTGCTATTATAAAAAAAAAAAACGTTTCGAAAAAAATTTTACGTGGACATCCTGATGTCACCCCATTTTGTATGTACCAACGGTTACTCCCGAAAAAATTGATATTTCAAGACCAGGCCTTTTTTATCCTAATATAAAATTGAGATGAAATGTATGTGGCATCAAACTATTCGTAACGTGATTGGTTGAATATATCATAAGCATGAAAATATATGCAAACCCTATAGTTAGGCGCGCGCTTGCGCGCGCAAAATTCAATTCTAGTTAGTTTAAGAATTCGATGAACTGAGTCCGTATTTAATATCAGTAGCCTAGTTTACGTATTCTTTTTTTTCAATGAAATTTTTATTGAAATTCACTACGATACAACCGTACAAAGACAAACGATTTTTCTTATTTGTCACGTGAAAACTATGACGCCACTTGTCAAGCTACATTTTTGTGGACTGCGTGCGTAGATAACAAGAAAAACACGCGCCGATATTAAAACAAAAATTAAATTACTCTGTAAGAAACTTATTTTACAAACTTTATTTTTTTTTTAAATGAATGAGCGTTACACTGTAAAAAAAAAACCGGTGTAAGTCCGGTGTTAAAATTACCGGTGTTAAATTTAACACCGAAATCGGTGTTATAATAACACCGATGTAACACCGTTTGCGGTGTAAATATTTTTTTCGGTGTTAAAACGGTGTTATAAATTTTCTGGCGGTATAAATTTGTTTTAATTAACACAATATTTATAATCGAACCGTACATCTTTAATAATTGGAAATAAATAATAAAAGAGGAAGATATTGATATTTAAAATTTTTTTCACGTAAAAAGCAATTTGAAGCTAAGCAATATTACTTCAAAAACTTAATTTTTCTATAGAAAAATTATATCAATGTTCCAAAAATGTTGGCCACTCAGCACCAAAAATTCATTTACTACAAATGGAATGAATTGAACGAAAATGACAATATTTTAAAACTTGGAAAAGGAAAATTTGAGAAGCTCAGAAATTTATTTGACAATATTCCATATCATGAAGTAAACTCTGATGAAGCTTTAACTCTGAGCAGTGTAGTTTATGAAGTATCAGAGTTTGAATTTCACTTTACCTACAAGAAAAATTAGTTTATTGCTTTATGTATCGATGACTTAAAAGATTTACCAATTTACAGTGAAATCAAAAATATTTTCGTTAATGATAATAATTTAATGTTTTACTGTCAAAACTTTTCCAACGATACCAAATTTAACCATAAAACTTTTACTTTACTCCGTAAAATAGCATAATATCAAAAAAAATATACTTTAAAATATTTATTTCTACGTGTTTATATTTAAAATCTAATATCGTACAAGCCTGAAACTAAACAATCAAATTATATTAATTAATGAGAAATTTCAAGAAATACATTTACACGTTTGATGGTGTAAAATTTAGAATTCACACCGTTCAAATTTAACATTACACTTACTGTGATTTTCACACCGTCCGTGTTAAAAATTTTTACACCGAATCATTTACACCACACCGAGTCCAAAAAATTTTTTACAGTGTAACTACTATATAGTTTCTAAACATTTATTACTGTAAATATTTAATAACTATATAAATATATGAAAAAATGATATGGGTACTTAAATGAAGGGTCGTGATGAGTTTAAGATCGAGATGAGCTTATATCTTAAAAAATGTCAGTAGTTGACAAGATACAAGGTCATTTCTTAATTATTGACATTTTTAAAGATATAAGCTCATACCGACGTTTCACGCATCAAGAGCTTTCATTTGAGTACCCACATGCATTTTTGATATATTTTTCATATATATAATTACACTGCCGTGTCCAACTTTCACTGCATGCTTTGTAAGTAGGACGTTTTTTGAGGCAATTCATGAGGCTTAGACTCAAAATTTGCATTCTTAGCGCTCTTAGGGGGAAGTTGTCGCGACGATGCAGATTGCATGTCAATGGAGAACGCAGTGTGTTCCGACAGAGTTTGCGTTTGTAATAAAGATTACTATGCAGTAAACAAAAAAGATTGTGCGCCTGCTGTAGGTGGTCATTGCTTCACTGACAACCAGTGTTTTTCGGACAACATGATCTGCATTAATAATGAATGTCAATGCGATATTGGATTTGAATCTGTGTCGATGACTCAATGTACTCCAGGTAAGTTTATACTGTACTGACGGCATCCTGAGATTCATGACTTTGTGATAAAATTTTTTGACAGCGGAGACATTGTTCGGATGTAGTTCCAATCCAGAGTGTAGCGACATCTGGCACGCCAAGTGTTCTGACAGGAATAAATGCGTGTGCAGAGAAAACAATATTGCAGACGGAACATCATGCTTGCCCTTACTTAGTGGTTATTGTTGGCGTGATGATCAATGCAGAGCCCACAATTCGGTCTGCGTTGATTTTCGGTGTCAATGCAGAACATATTTTGTTGCAGTCGCTAATAATTCGTGTGTTTTAGAAATATAATTGTTAAAAATTTTTAATATTTTCTTAAATTGTAATTCATGATTGATTCTGAATTGATATTTGGTGTCAATGCAGCAAAAATTTAATTGTTGTTACGAATAATTCTTAGAAAAAGTCGAAAGAATAAATTTTTTTTGTTTTATATTGTTGAAATTTTAAATCTGAAGAATACATTAAATTTATTTGTTAGACTATAAGTTTATATTGAACCTACAATAATAAAATTATGTTTAAAAAAATTCATCTATTAATAAGTCAGTGACATAAAATCAATTTCCTGTCAGGAAATTCAATCAATAATACTTTATTTTAAGTGGTATAGATTTTTATTACTCCTAATTCACCACTATATATTCCAAAAATTTTAAAACGGAGCGACAAACGTCAATAAAAATGTTATTTCCCACACTATTAACTATATTGATTTTGAGTGTCAATGCAGCGTACCACAGTAACGACGACGATGCATGCCAAGCTACAGGAAAATCGGTCAGTATACAAACAATTAACTTTACATTGACTTATTGACATTGATTTTTCTTCACTGGCTTGACAGTGTAATCCGGAGGACGCAGTTCCGTGCTGTGACGATGCAGTTTCATGCCAAGCGAGTGAGACGCCCGGGTTGTACATCTGCATGGAGCAAGGTACTGAATCCATACAATCCTCCAAAACTGCATTGTGAATTGGATTGATTGAGCCTAAAAAAGATACTTTAATTTGCCGCTAAATCAATTGTATTGACCAATTGAAGTATTAATTAAGGAGGTTCGAGCGTAACTTATGAGTCAAAATAATGTTTAAATTGTTTTTCACTTTCAGTCTTTCCAATATTCGTCAAAATTATTTATCTTAATTTAAAATAATTTGAACAATATAATAATTGATTATTTTTACTTAATTAATTAAACAAAGTAATCAAATGACTTTCGTATTTATTATTTGCCGGATTAAATAAACAGATTCGACAACAGCGCGTTTTTATACTCATTACAGAGACGTGCATAAGTGTGTGAGTTAAATATTTCTCTCTCTGTAATTATATTTCTATCCTTTTCTTATTTCTCAGCTGTTGACGCAACGTTGCCAAATCTTTATTCGAATAAATAGTTGGCGATAAACGAGTCAGAAACATAAAATTTAACTTCAAATATTTCAAAAATTATATCGATAATGTATTATTATTAAATTTTTTTTATATTTTACAATAATCCAAGTTTCTTGTGTATAGTTTTTTATTCGTCATTGTTGGAAAGTTAATATTGAAAAAAATAATTAAAGTCTCGATTAAAGCTTGTCCGCCATAAGAGCCCGTGTAGAATAAGATAAAACAAGTGATTTTTTAAATTTAACATCTAAGTAACTAAACGGTGAATCTTTTTAAAATTTTGGGATAAGATAAATTATATATTTATTTATACGTTTATTTAATTTCAAAGCTCAAAGTTGGAAATTATTTTTTACATTAGATTCGCTCGAACCTCCTTAACACTAAATTAAACGCTATTTTCAAATGCAAAGTGAAAATAATAATAAAATTCAACTGTTTTCCAGAACAATTGGGATCGCAATGCATCTACACTTCCGATTGTTTAAAATTCCACAACGCCGACTGTATCAACAATAAGTGTGGATGCAGTTTGAACTACATTCAATTAAATTCCACATACTGTGCCCCAAAATTGGGCGTCTTTTGCGCTAAAGAAGCCTGCGCAGTTAGAAATTCTGTCTGCATTGATTGCAAGTGTCAATGCAGTCCGAATTTCTCACAATCTCTCGATCACTGTCTCGCAAGTAATTTCCTCTCACTATAGATAATAAAATTGATAAAACATCACTTACAAAAAATTTATTTCAGCTAATTTGAACCAATCGTGTTCCGTCAATACAGATTGCGACGGAATTCTATTCGCGGAATGTTCCACCGCAAAAACATGTTCCTGTCAATCGAATTACATTCAACGTGGTTCTAATCAATGTCTTTCAGCCCTGGACGAGGCCTGTTTCGGGCATAGTTCCTGCGCAGCTGCTAATTCACTGTGCATTGACTATAAATGTCAATGCAAGCCAAGATACGCCTCTTTATCTAACTCTGAATGCGTACCAAGTAAATATTTTGATTGTAGCTCGCGTATTAACTGATAAGTTAATTAACGATGCAATTGTTTCAGTTCGTATCAATGGAGTCTGCAGAGATAATTTTGACTGTCAGGATTCGTTAAATACAATTTGTACTGATAATAAGTGTCAATGTGACCAAGATAGCTTCGAAGCGGACGGCAAGTGCGTAGCACTTTTGGGTGGATTTTGTTTGACAAACAGCGACTGCATCGTTGGAAACTCGTCCTGCATTGACCATGTCTGTCAATGCAGTCACAATTACAAACCAATCGGTCGGAATAGCTGCAAGCCAAGTAAGAAACTTTTTTTTTATTATAATTGAACCGGAGCTTGACTACATTGATTTTGAGTGCAGAATTACTTGGATCAGCGTGCGAACTCGACGAAGACTGCGATTTCATTAAAAACGCTAAGTGTGTAGACAATGTGTGCCAATGCAGGGACAAATACTTTGGAAACAGCGATTTTTTGTGCTCACCAATCATCGGCGGTCGCTGTTCTAACAAATCCGAGTGCTTTCTTAACAATCTCGAGTGCATTGACGGCCAATGTCAATGCAGTGAGGGTTCATCGGCTATTTCAAGTAGTCAATGCTTGACAAGTAAGTGTCGGAATAATTCAAATTAGAATCTGACTGATAGTTTGATACATTTCAGCCTCTTTGATGTTTTCTTGTCAGCATGTCTCAGAATGCGCCGATATTTTACACTTTGAATGTTTAAACAATAAATGTGTCTGCAAAGCTGATAATAATATTTCGTTGAGTAGAGCGATGTGCTTGCCACTCCTTGGCGGGATTTGTTGGAAGAACGATCAATGCATTGCTGAAAATTCGGCCTGCATTGACTTTAGGTGTCAATGTAATTCTGGTTACGTAGCTGCGGCTAAAAACTTGTGTGTGAAAATATGATTCTTGGAATAAAATATAACGTAATTTTTTATTGAGTATCGCTGCATTAATTTTCAGCGTCAAAGCATACATTTTTGTTATAATTATGTTTTTATAAAGATATTGTATATTTTATGATAAAAGCGCAAAGCTGATATGGAAATAAATTACACGTCAAAGAAACTTCAAAATAAGTTTATTTAGCGGAATTGACAATACGCTGCAATGAAAAACTTCCTTTCTTGGCGCCGCCTAGGGTTAAGAAATTTTTAACTTCCCGCTAAGAAAATCAATGATTAAGTTATTGGTTTTACCCCGTTTTGCAAAAATCGAGGCTTCAACAGATCTTGACGTTTTGAAGCCCGAAGAAGCTTTCCTGACTATTTTTACGATGATGTCCGTACGTCTGTATGTATGTGTGTGTGTGTGTGTGTAACAATAACAACAATAACGAAGCTGCATTGATTATTTTAGTAAATGCAAGCAATGCAGTTGGAGTGAAAACTCAATTATGTGCACCTGTTTTGGGTGGTTTTTGTACCTCTGACAGTGAATGTAAATCGATAAATTTGCAGTGCATTGACTATAAGTGTCAATGCAGGCATGGATTTTCACAATTCAATACGCAGGAGTGTCATCAACGTAAGTATAATTTCAATGATACAAAATGATTGCTAAAATGAATAATTAATTTTCAAAGCTTTCAATACCACCCACTGTAAAAATAATAGTCAATGCAGTATTCGTGTTAACAATTCAATGTGTGACGGAAAGTGTAGATGCCTTCCGAATTATCACTTCAAAAATGGAGGGTGCTTGCCAAAAATCGGCAACCATTGTGTGGACGAACAATGTGCAGCTGATAACTCTGACTGCATTAACCAGAAGTGTCAATGCAAGCAAGGATATAGTTTTTACTATAATAATTGTATGTTAGGTAAGAGTTATTGATAATTTCCAATGAGAGAACACTTTTAACAAGTAAAATTGTTAATTTCAGTGTTCATGAATATCTCATGCGACATGGACGCTGATTGTGATGGAAATGGCAATGCAGTATGCTCGAGACGTGAATGTTATTGTAAAGTAGGTTACATACTAAAAAATAATATCTGTGTGTCAGTAGATGAAAAATTCTGCTCTTCAACGGATCGATGCCTGCGAAGAAATTTCGAGTGCATTGATAATGAATGCAAATGCACCTCTGACTCGTTGTTACTCAAAAGCGGATTGTGTTTGTCAAGTAAGAGACAAATTTTAAGGCTCAAATGTTAATCTTTAGACTGATTTGTCATTACTATGCAGCTAAATTGGGACAATACTGTGCAGAGGAGAATGAATGCCAACTTATAAAGAACGCAAAATGTTCGAGGACGCAAAAATGTGTTTGCAAGTCATCATACTTCCCCTTGAGTGCTACGACATGTGGATCGTTACTTGGCGGCTTTTGTTGGGACAAAAGCGACTGCCCGGCGCCGAATTTCGAATGCATTGACGATAAGTGTCAATGTAGTGCTGGATTTGTGCCTCTGACCAGCAGCAACTGCATTGACGGTACGGGAAAATTTTCCGATAATACATGCTTGTATTTTGAAGAACTTAAAATTGTTTTTTTAGAAAATTTGACGTTGCTTTGCAATCATCGGACACTTTTAGCTCCAGCTGCACGGAACACAACACTGCTAGCAAAATATTTAGGAAGTTATTGTATTGACAAAACCTACTGTGATATTCCTAACTCTGACTGCATTAATCATAAGTATCAATGTAAACCGAATTTAGCTTCGTCTAGCAACAAATGTGTACCACGTAATCCAATTTCTTTTCTGCTAATTTGAACTTTATATTTAAATTAAACTATCTGACAGCCTCACTGGGCCATCCTTGTAAGGTTGATTTCGATTGCAAGAACATAAAAAATGGTCATTGCTCGGCTGATAAATTCTGCGCTTGCGTCGCCAATCACTTTGGACTCTCTAAATATCAATGCATTCCAAGTTTAGGCGGCGATTGCAATGATAATAACGATTGTACGGTTTATGCTTCTGAGTGCATTGATAATAAGTGTCAATGCAATGCTAACTACTCGGCTGTATCCGGCAGTCAATGTAAACTAAGTAAGTTCTTGATGTCAAAAGATTCTTCTACACAGTAAAAATTAATAGAAAATTTTTGCAGTGTAAAGACCTTAAAAATTAACAAAATTTAATGATTTACTGCAGCTTTGTCACTGGTCGAATGCAACAAAACTCTGGATTGCGGCGAGCATTGGCATTCAACATGTTCTCTCAATGGAAGATGTATTTGCCATAAAAACAGTTTCATGGTGAATTTATGGACGTGTCAACCTACTTTGGGCGGCGCATGCTGGTATGACCATCAATGCATCACCAAAAATTCCTTCTGCATTGATTTCCGGTGTCGATGCGGTGAATTTTTTACCCGTTTGTCCGACAATCAATGTATATCTACACTATTACCTAGTGGTTATTGAGTTTCAATAATAAAAGTTCATTGCATCAATAAATAAAAATAGGTTTCTTTTTATTACCAAAAAACGAGTCATTAAAATTATCTTACACAACTATTTTTAATTTAATTACTAAAAAAACAAGTTTTTAATGACCTTCAACACACAACATTCTTTATTTGAAAAAAATTAGGAAAACGGTTGACCCCAAAGGCCATCCTTTTTAGCGCTCAAAATTGCACTTGTTACGTTTTGAGCTCGTCGAGCTCAAAAAAATAACTTTCATGTCATTTTAAGCTCTCCGGCGGCATCCGGCTCTCTGGCCGGACACAGTTTCTGAAGCCTCATGAAGAATCTTTAAGCTTAACCCTCGGAGTACACACCTCCGAACAGAACTTTAGAGTACACACGGGGTCAAATTAAGGCCACTTGACTTTCGAAGAATTACATCTCAGAAACTATGCATTTTATCGGAAATTCAGGTTATTACATTTTTGATAGGTAAAACAATGCTCTTTTCAATAGAATCATTGTTATTCTGAATTAAATAGTTTTTAATGTTGAAAAAATTAATTAAAAACGATTCTAGTTTCGAGAAATATTGTAGAATAAAGAAAATTCTGGGGTCAAAATAACCTTTAGTGTACTCCGAGGGTTAAATTGATCGAACTGTGAATTTCGAAGTAATTCCAAAAAATAACTTTTTTTGGTTTTCTGTCGACAACGATAACTCACGAACGATAACTCAACCGATTTCGACCGGGCTGGTGATGATCGCCGTGGTTTTATTTTGTTAAGAGCTGATTAGTTTCTGGAATCGATCGATTAAGCTGTTTAAAAGTTATTTCAAAACAACCGCATTTGAAAAAAATTTTTTTGTAGTTTTTTTGAGATTTCTCAAAATCTACCAGTTCGAATCGGTTCCAATTGTATTCAAAATCTAAGTTTGGTCAAGCCCTTTCGAATAGCGCGAACCGCGATAAAATCGGTCAAGTCATTTAAAAGTTTAAAACGATATATGCTCATCCTCATGTTACACTTATTGAGACCGTTCATTTGAATACCCACTCGAATTTTTCATTTTTAACTTCCCGCTAAGAAAATCGAAGATTTTCAAAAATCGGGAAGTTATTGTTTTCAGCCCGTTTTGCTAAAATCGAGTTTTCATCAGATCTCGACGTTTAAAGGTCACAGGAGGCTTCCCTGACTATCCCTATCCTGTGTGTGTGTGTGTGTTTTTTTTTGGGGGGGGGGATCCTTTTTACGGATTCTAGACATAGTTGTTGGCCTGGATATGTGGCGACTCGACGCAGCGTCAAACTAATACTCGACGCTAACGCCCCTACCCACTAAACCCTAAACCCCTTTTCCTTCTTTCCTCTAATCCCTCATGGAAACCGCCGTCAGGCATTACTTCGTGAAGGGAGGATCTAGCTACTGCTCTTCTTTCTGGTGGCTAAGGTGTTAACTACCTTCCTTCTATCTTCTGCTATTTGCTCTTCTTCTTTCGGTGGAACGCAAGTCTTTGAGGACTTCTGTTGCAAACGTGTTGGTAGCGTTCCAGGCAGCTTCTGACGACAACATTGCTTCCACTAGTGAATCTGGTTGCATTCTCTGGTTCAGGATCCTCTCCAACTCTTCACGCTGTGGATCGAAACGAGGACATACAAAGAAGACGTGCTCCGCATCTTCAGCAACTCCTGGGCAGGACGGGCACTCCGAAGAGTCATCGTGCTTAAAGCGGTGTAGATACTCTCGAAAACACCCATGTCCTGACAACATCTGCGTAAGATAGTAATTGACCCCACCGTGATTCCGGTTAAGCCAAATGTCGATCCGAGGTATGAGACGGTGCGTCCACCTACCCTTCTCTGCAGCATCCCATTGTAGTTGCCATCGGCCTATGCTCTTCTGCCGCTCTTCTAAGTTCTTCAGGACTCAGTGCAGTTGACCTTTTTCATTGGTAAAGGGCCCGTCTTTCCTCTGCTAGAATTCTAAGAGGTAGAGTTCCAGCAATGACGCAAACTGCTTCTTCTGATATAGTGCGGAAGGCACTAGCTACTCGTAGGGCACTTAGTCGGTATATTGGTCCAGCTTTTCTCAATGATTCTTGGGTTTCCAGTGCATCAGCCCAAATGGATATTCCGTAAGTAAGCACTGATGTGACTACTGATGACAATAATAGCCTCCTGCTCTGCATTGGGCCTCCGATGTTAGGCATCAACCGTGCGAGACTAGCCCTCACTACTGACGCTTTGGCACTGACATGTTCCACCTGCTGCTTGAAGTTGAGTCGTGCATCCAGCATCACTCCCAGATAACGGATAAATGGTTGTGATATGATTTCTTGTTCTCCGACTCTCAACTTAATGGTTTCTACCGTTTTTCTGCTGGTGATGAGCACTGCCTCGGTTTTATGCTTGGCCAGTTGCAAGTTCATCATGTCCATCCACAAATTGACTCGTCTGAATGTAATATCAAATGCCAGTTCTATCTCTTCGAGGTGCTTTGCTACGATCACGACAGCTACGTCATCCGCATATGCTACAAGTTTGACTCCCGTGGGCAATGCTATTCTCAGGAGGCCATCATACATGATGTTCCATAGCAGAGGACCTAAGACTGATCCTTATGGCACTCCTCCGGAGATTTTGTACACTTCCGTACCGTTCTTCGTATCATATTTCAGGACCCTATTCGTGAAGTAACTCGCTACTATTCTGCGGAGGTATCTTGGTAGGTTTTTTTCCTCTAGAGCCCGCATAACACAGCCCCAGTTAGCGGAGTTGAAGGCATTCTCGATGTCCAAAGCAGCCACCAAGCAGTATTTCTTCTTTCCACCCTTCCATCTCGTTCCGGCGATTGCATCCTTGGCTATATCAACAACCAATTTGATTGCATCCAAAGTTGACCGTCCTTTTCGGAAACCGAACTGGTTCCCTGCCAGAAGTGGATCGACTAAAGCCTCTATTCTCTGATGAATTATGCGCTCGAATATCTTGCCGGCCGTGTCTAACATGCAGAGTGATCGGTAGGATGATGGTTCTTCCGGCGGCTTTCTTCCCTTTGGAAGTAACACTAGCCGTTGCTGTTTCCACTTCCGGGGAAAAGTCCCTTTCTTCAGGCATGTATCGTAGACGTCCAGAAATAATGTCGGTGCTGCCCTAAGGATTGATTTCAGGGAAATATTAGGGATTCCGTCCAATCCCGGTGCCTTATTATTCCCCTCTCTACTGCCTGCCTCTATC